TCTTTCTAGGCCCTAGGGCCTCATTCAAGGCCAGGTTCATGGCTGTTACTTGGCCGTTACATCTCGGATTCCAATAATGGAACCCCCATGCTCCTAGGGGGCTCCATTTTGCTCCCGTTTGCCCAATTTTGAGCCCCATTTGCTCCGATTTTCTAAGGGCAGCCTTTTTCTTATGTTGAGTCTTTCAAGGCTCTATTTTCTTATGCCTTGCTAGTCCGAGGTATCCCGGACTGCTGGGCAGCCTTCCGAACATCCTTATTTCACTTTTCCTTCTCCCATGGCTCTCTCACTTGCTCCCACTAGTGCTTGCACTAGTGGTGCTAATATTTTCCACCGTCTAGATCCTCAATCTCGACGGTGTCGTTTGCTTGCACAATTATTCCTTGTGTTTGCTGATGGTTCCTTGGGACATCCCAAGTCCTCGCCATTTTCCTACATGCTAGCTCCATTTCTTTGTCCCGCCGGCGATTCCGCCGGCACGTGTCCCGTTTTTCGATTTTTATTAATTGGCCTCATTTGGTCCCCGGCAACATTCCGGACGGCGTCCCATTTTTATTTTTTTGGGGCCCACTGCCCTTGGTGGTCCCATCATTTCTACATGTGGCGCCGATTTTTCTAGGCCGTGAGATCTCATCTCACGGTTGAGTTTACCGTCTTTACTTGCCCCTTGCCGAAATTGCTCCTTTCTAGCCTTCCGGGCTTGCCGTAGCCCATTCCCCTTCGGCCTTGGCATCCCCATGCAGTCCGTAATTTCTCGGACCGCGGTCGTGACTGTTTTCTCCCCTTCGGCCTTCGGCCTTGGCATCCCCATGTTAAAAGAAAATGAAGCGTTAAATTTTCTAGTGCATCCGGGCTCAATGTTGGCTCCGGATGCACCTAGAACATGTGTTTTCTCTCCCCTAGCAGTCCGTTGCAACTCGGACTGCAATGGGGGTCAATTCCTTAGCCCCAATGCCCCACAACTAGCCCTTACTCAAAAGAAAAAGAAACGGTCAATTCCCAAGTGCATCCGGCTTTGATTTTGGCTCGGGATGCACCTAAAACATGTGTTTCTCCTCATGCATGTATTCCGTTTTATTCCGGTTGCAAGAGGTCTTGATTTTCTTTGAATTTCTCTGCAAAAAAGAAAGAAAATCAAAGTCCTTTGTAACCGCCATATTCTAGAATGAATCTGGTCACGGATGAATCTCCCCAAGTGACCGTTTTTTATTGTTAAGGCCTTTTTCTCTTTTCTTTTCTTTTCTTTTCTTTTCTTTTTTTTTCTCTTCCTTTTTTGGACAGTAGGGACCTCCCTGTCCCTACCTATGGCAGTCCCTACTGACGGCCAACTCCGTATTTCCCTCTCACTCTTTTTGTGTTATTCTCCCCCATTTTCTTTTCTTTTCTCTCTTTTTTCGAGCATGCCAAGTGTCAAGTGGCCGTTAAGGCCCTTTTCTAGCCTCTTCCTCTTAGTTTTGGCCCTCCCTATGCCCAAGGTGCAGTCCGTTATTTCTCGGACTGCAATAATGGCCTTCCCATGCCCATGGGAGCCTCCTTTTACGCCTACATTTCTCCCACAATGGTCCCTCCTACTCCGATTTTCTCCCGGAGGGCTATTTTTCACATGGGGTCTTATTTGACTCAACTTTCTTGAGGGAGGCTGATCCGAGATTTTTCGGATTGCTCCCATGCCTCCCACTTCAGTTTTCTTTACTTTTCCTTTTCCTTTTGGTCTTCCCAGTTGTCACCACGAGTACTTGCACTAGTGGTGCTAATATTCTTGGCCGTCAAGATGTTGATCTTGACGGTGCACCTTGCATTTATTATTTTTCCCTTATGTGGTGCCGCCTTTTCTTCTTGGGACTTTCACATGTCCCCGCCACTTGTCCCGTCGGTGGTCCCCGACACTTAATCCCGTCGGTGGTCCTTGACACTTAGTCCCGCAGGTGGTCCCTGACACTTAGTCCCGTCGGCGGTCCCAGGCATGTTTCGCCTCGGACGCCATTATTTTTACTTAGTCCCACATGGCCCCGGGTGCCTTTCCCTGAGGTGTCCCATGCCCCTTGGGCGTCTTGTCGCCCCATAGCGACCCCTCTCCTTAGTCTTCCCTTGTGCGTTGTGCGTGCCGATCTCTTTGGTCGTGGGCCTCCGCTCTGAGGCTCCCGTAGGTGGCCGCCACGTTGGCCCCTCATTTTCTGGCTTCCCGCGGCTTATGGCCGCCCATCCCTCGACTTCCTCATTCCCTTATTGCTGTCGCGCTGCAATTGCTAGTTCAAAGGGCCCTTTGGCCTTAGTTTTATTGCATTCCGATGGCCCTCCCGGCCTCCTGCTATGTTCTATATGCCTCTGTTCTTGTGCTCGCTTGCTTGCGGTCGCTAGTTCTTTCCTCCTGTGGTTCTCTCCTCAAGGCATCACTCCCATCTGCTGCCTAATCCTTTGTCTTTTCTCTCTCCTGCTTCCTCACTCCAGATTTCTCTGTTGTGCACAAATTGTCCGTATTCAATCTCTCGAGTGATGGGAAGTCTTTCGGGACCCACCAGTCCCGACAACGGGCCTGTATTTTCCTGAATTTACAGATATGTCCCTCACGAATTTTCCTTACAGGCATGTCTCTCGGTTAGCCCTCAGCCAAACAAAATTGTGAATCTAACCTAAGACGTGACCAGACCGAGGCAAGCCCCAAGCTTCGCCCTTGGCCCAATGTACAGTCCACTGAGAATCTGCAGGGTTCATTACATGTGTGTGTGTGTGTG